CCTGCTGTGTATGTTTTCTTCTAAGATTTTTGTGGTTTCAAGCCTAACATTTAAGACTTTAATCCATTTTGAGTTTATTTTTGTGTACATTGTAAGAAGGTGGTCTAGTTTAATTTAAACTATTTTTTTGGTATATCTCTTTGGGCAAAAGAAAAAATAAACAAATGAGATTGCATCAAACTAAAAATTTTTTGCCCAGCAATGAAACCATCAATAAAATGAAAAGACAATCCACTGTAAGGGAGAACATATTTGTCAGTGATACATTTGTATTGGACATACAAATGGCCAATAGACATATGAAAAAATGCTCAATGTCACTAATTATCAGAGAAATACAAATTAAAACCACAATGAGATGTTACCCCACACCTGTCAGAATGGCTATCATCAATAAATCAATAAATAACCAATGTTGGTGAGGGTGTGGAGAAGAGGAAACCCTTGTGCACTGCTGGTGGGGATGTAGATTGGTGCAGCCACTGTGGAAAACAGTATGGGGTTACCTCAAAAGCAGTATGGAACCGCCTTATGACCCAGTGATTCCATTTCTGGGAATATGTCTGAAGAAACTTGAAACACTAATTTGAAAGAGTATATACACCCTGATGTTCATTACAGTGTTATTTACAATAGCCAAGATTTGAAAGCAGCCCAAGTGTCCATCAGTGGATAAGTGGATAAAAAAGCTGTGGTACTCTTACACAATGGAATGCTACTCAGCCATAAAAAAAAGGAAATGTTACACTTTGCAACAGCATAGATGGATCTGGAGAGCATTATGTTAAGTGAAATAAGCCAGTCAGGAAAAACAAGTATCACATGATTTCACTCATATGTGGAATCTAATGAACAAAATCAACTAGCAAACAAAACAGAAATTGATTCATAGATACAGAGAACAGACTCACAGCTGTCAGAGGGGAGGGAGGTTGTGGGGCTGGGTTAAAAAGATGAAGGCATTAAGAAAAAAAAACTACAACTCATAGACACAGACAACAGTATGGTGATTCCAGAGGGAAATGGGGTTGAGGAGGTGAAGAAGGTAAAAGTATAAATGATGATGGAAGGAGACTTGACTGGGGATGGTGAACACACAATATAATATACAGATGATGTATTATAGAATTGTAGATCTGAAACCTATATAATTTTATTAACCAATGTCACCCCAATGAATTCAGTAAAAAACAAGTAATCAAGAATACAGGAATGTTTTTAGTTAAGACTCTCCATTTTAATCATCTGAGATGTTTATTCACAATAAATATTACTTATTGTTAGTTAAATTAAATGTATGATTAACTAAATATTTGGGACATGAGGTTAAGAAGTGACATTGTCAAATGCATGCACCTTTAAGTGGCATTAATTAGCACACTACTAGGTATAGGGAAAAATCCATAGATGCACCTGAGTTTTTTCAAAGGATTTTCCTGACCATATCTACCTCATAGGAGTGTCATATTGAGATATTATTCTCTTTAATTATAGGCCAGGATACCTAGAGCTTAAAGAAGAGGTTATTTGAGGAGAGTCCCAACGTGAAATACAGAGCTAGCACAGAAACTTTAGTCTGAATCCTCATCTAGTACTTTCAGAGTAAAAGTGCTCTTTATGGTAAAAAATTATAAAATATGTTCTTTTCAGGCACAGACACTGGATTTGGCAATCTCTATGGATAGCAGCTTGATGTAATTAGCCAGGGAGAACTTTCTGGAATACCCATGTGATGTGATATATATTTACAATATGAACAAAACAAAGATGAGCGTCATTACTTTGAAGACTTACATATTGAAGTGACTTCCTGTAATCAGTGTTCTTGTTAATGTGGACAATTGATATTTTCTTAATCTTGAGAGAATGAGTAAAACATCTTAGAAACCTATTAATGCAATATTACCATTAATTTTTAACATACATCAAAGTAAAGACAGCGTGCTTACTTTGTAATTTTATCTTCAAGATGAGTCCTGTAGTCTGCCATCACCAGGCCCCAAGGTGGACCCTAGAGCTACCATAGTTGACCTTTCACTAAGTACTTGTTGCATTTTAAATAATTTACCTTTTTTTCATAATTTATACACAGACCAACATAGAGACATAAAAACATAAGGAAAAGATCTAGGTTTAAAAGATCTATGTTGAGATCAGCTGGTGCAAGAAAAACTAGAGGACTATTTGGAATTAATTTGCATTGATATTGGAAGTCTTTAGATATACATGTATACACCTTGAACAGTAGGTGTTTTTATTTTTTAAGTGTTGGTGACCAATAGAAATTCATCAACTTTTAAATTTTGTGAAGTAAGAACAATTCAAAGAAGTAGAAATAGGGAGAGAAGAAGGAGGAGGAAAATAAAACTGTCCACTACCACCCCTGTTTCATACACGATGGGACACAATCTCAGGATAAAGGACAATTGATTAAATTGGGTCAAGTTGGCTTCATGAAAAGCTCACAATTTTCTCACTATGCTGTAGATTGTGGAATTGTAATGACAGAAGGGTGTTGCTTCACACACTTGCATGGTAACAACACATGTGTGTCAGTGTCTTTATTTTATATGAGCAAATTAAAATTACATTCTAAGTAAATCTAAACATATTTTAAGATGCATGGTTGAGTTGATTCACAAAGTCTGTGTTTGTGTGTATGTGTGTGTGTGTGGGGGGGGGTTCTTTCTTCTCCCTCCCTCCCTCTCTCCTTCCTTCCCTCCCTCCCTCCTCTCCCTCTCTCTCTCTCTTCCTTCCTTCCTTCCTTCCTTCCTTCCTTCCTTCCTTCCTTCCTTCCTTCCTTCCTTTTTTCTTCTTGTTTGTTTTTCTTTGCTTGTGCTGGCCACTTGCCTTAGAGATAATGGATCTAGAAAGGTCCAATAATAATTTCTAGTAGTCACTAGAGTTTCTTGTTTATCATGTCAAAACCTTTCTGTTAAACACTAGAATCTTTTTCATTATGTTTGCACTAGAGTCATCCATAAAAATTTATTGTCTTGATATGAACCTTAGTGTTCCAGCTACTGATTTCATTAACCAGAAAAGTCAGGTCACATATTAACATTAACTAGGTAGGGGTTTAAGTGAAATTTAGGACACTTTTATTTAATAATTTTGTTCACAAGATGTAAAAGAATTTTTATGATATTTGTATCTTCACATTGCCAAGTCTCATATTATAGTTTTGCAATATATAGAATTTTGTTTTCTTATGTTTTTACTCTTGCTTCTCCAGATATGCTTATATAGGAAGAAAAATATTAAATTACCTTTTTGGAATTGGACATTGTCACTATTGGACTATCTTCTCTGTTAGTCCCTCTTATTTCATTTTCTCTGACTCTTCTCTCTAATTTTTCACTCCATTCCTTCCCCAACACATTCCTACTTCCAGAGAGACCTTCCAAAATACATCTTTGGAAATTTCAGTTTGCCTTCATTTCAGTTTAGAAGTTTTTATTTTATTTAATATCCTGGGAAGTACTTTGTAATGATGTCAATCATTTACACCCGAGTATGAATACATTCATTTGTTTTCTCTCCTGCTCCAAATATCTAGTTTATTGGGGGGCGGGGGGTGGGGAGAGGATATGAAGATAATGGATCTTGGAGAAGGGTGCTATCAAATGGGGAAAATGACAAAAGTGTGGGGAAGCTAAAAACATTGAAAATAATTTTATCTACTTCACAATTTTACCTAGGGCTGAATGTTGTCCCCAGTTAAAAAACAACAACACTCAATTAGTTAATCAGACTTACATGCAGAAAACTAGACAACTTGGAGCAGACAAAAGAGAAATGGTTGTGATTATGTTTAAAAAAAGACACATAGAAAATCTTGCTTTACATATAATGAGCATAAATACTTTCAGTAAATTATAGTGTATTAGACAGATGCATTTATTCATGTTCCTTGTATAAACCACACTAAAAGGATATTAAAGGATTAA